AATAAGAGGATTGACAATTCATATCACCATCATGCGTAGTTTGTCCTATCAGTACCTAGGTACCACACCCCAGCGTGTGGTGCCTAGGTATGTGCCGCACCACCAAAGTTGGCGTTCTGAAACTGAGAAGCTTGTCGAGTGAAGTTGGCATGCGACGTCGTAGCTGGAGACCCATCCATCACCCAGAGGCGCCTCTGGAGCTGTGTTTAAGTGGCGGCTCATGATGTGCCACGGCTGCTGGAGGACGGGACATCGCCAGAGCCAGCGAAACAGCTCTGGCGATGTTACTGCTCCTCAGTAAACTGTTACTGCACTGTAACAGTGAGCTGTTACTGCACCTCAGGCAATAAATGGCTGTACGAAGCTAGCTGTTTTTATTGAGCAGGAAGAGGGACGAAGAGGCAAATTGTTGCCATGGTAACGTCGAAATGCGAGCCTCGCCTAGTTTCAGGAGTTAAGTGTCCACGCAGCCTCCTTTCAGCCACCTACACATACTTCCAAAAAATATGTATGCAGGTGACTAGGTTTTAGACTTGACAGCCGGCTTCTCATCCACCACCCAAGGCTAGGGGACAACTGATGCAGCGCTTTGTGGGTGTCAGTTTACTGCCGAAGAGCCATAAACAGCGATGCACTCCATGAAATGTTCGCCGAGTTTGGACACAGACGGGTTTCGGTCACAGCCTACGGAAGTGTTGCCAAGACACGTGTCGGCGGGCTAAAGCGGGTCGTGATTTGCACCTTCCATGACGCTTAGCCCGAAAGGAGCATGCGAAATATATTCAAAAACTGTGTTCAGTCTTCCCGAACAAGACAGCGCAGCAACATAGATGGATTCTCTAGTGGGGAAGATGGGCCACCCAAGATGGAAAGTCTGTTAAGAAGATTAAAGCAAATGTGGGCGCGGGTGCGTTAGTATGCAAGGAATGTGCGGTAGAAGCGCCATCTCATCACGACGCTGAGCTGAGACACTGGAAAAACAAACAGGTTTTACTGTTCACACAGGGGTACAACTGTGAATTGTTTGACAACTGGTAGTCAAATGACAGGCAGTTTGGGTGTTTTCGCTAAAAGACGTCTTGCCTTGGGTATCCAAGGTAACCTACGCTCCAACGTGCTCAATTTCTTAAATTGCTCTAAACCACAAGATACCCGGGCTTCCACCGCACATTGCTAAGGATAGTAGGCTCTAATGACGCCCCCCCCCCCCCCTCCGAGGGCCCCATCGCAGGATCACGGAAATCGTCGTCAGAGATCACGTCACGGGGATGACCTGAGAGATCACGTCACGGAGATGATCGCCAGAGATCATGTCACTGAGATGATCATCAGATATCACGTTACGGAGATCGTCGTCAGAGATCACGCCACGGAGATGATCGGCAGAGATCGCGTCACGAAAATGACCGTCAGAGATCACGTCACGGAGATGATCACCAAAGATCGCGTCAGGAAGGTAATGGTCAGAGGTCATGTCGCAAGGGATGGCCGTCAGAAATCACGTCAACGAGGACGATCGTTACAGATCACGTAACGGAGATGATCGCCAGAGGTCACGTAACGGAGATGATCGCCAGAGATCACGTCACGGAAATGATCGCCAGAGATCACGTCACGGAGATGATCGCCCTCCGGACAGCGGACGGCAAGCGGATGACGGGCAGCAGGCGGACAGCTGGCGGCGGTGTCCGCCCTGATCCGTCGTCTGCTGCGTCACCCGACCGGAGGCACGACCGTGACACGCCGCGCCGCCAGCGTGACGGCGGCCGCGTGACGGACGTGACCGTGGGCCGTCACGCCCTCTCCCTCCCCGCCGATCGGGTCACTGAGCGGGGGGTCCAGCGGCGGCGGCAGGCGGGTGCAGAGCGTGCCGCCGGGGACCGCACGGAAGTGGACTTAAGCGGACTGAAGCGAACTTATAAGTGACCTCAACGACACCGCATCGAGGCAAGTCCGGAGGATGTGAACAGCTGGCTTTTTGGGGAGCACAAGGAAACGTAACTCATAAATTCCCAAAAAGGGCGAGATCTGCCGTAAACCTTCCGCTAAGCCGTATGTTTCGCCGTGGAACAGTATATGACGCAGCAGCGCGCCCCTTTCAGGAACTATACACTGCGTCGGCCCTTTACCAGAACCCTGATGCCGCTTTTGTCACTTTTTATTGGACCATCGATGGGTTGGGCTCCAGCAGACTTGTGTTTGACTCAAATTCTTTGAGAAGGCTCAGTACCGACTCACATATTTTGCAATCCGATTCAGCTTAAAACTCATAGCCGTTCTAAATATTTTTATTTAGCTCGGTTTAGACTCACAGACATCACTCAATTCCCAAAAAGGGTGAGATCTGCCGTAAACCTTCCGCTAAGCCGTATGTTTCGCCGTGGAACAGTATATGACGCAGCAGCGCGCCCCTTTCAGGAACTATACACTGCGTCGGCCCTTTACCAGAACCCTGATGCCGCTTTTGTCACTTTTTATTGGACCATCGATGGGTTGGGCTCCAGCAGACTTGTGTTTGACTCAAATTCTTTGAGAAGGCTCAGTATCGACTCACATATTTTGCAATCCGATTCAGCTAAAAACTCATAGCCGTTCTAAATATTTTGATTTAGCTCGGTTTAGACTCATTGCTTGCATCAAATTATGTGACTCATCACTTATGCAGCTTGCAAAATCAAGCATACTGTTCAGTTCTGGCTCGCTGCCTTGTGGTTCATGAGCCGTATTACTCATTCATATATATATATATATATATATATATATATATATATATATATATATATACCATGATGCGGAAAATAGGTACGTATAGTCTTCTAGCAAGTTTGTAGTTTGAACGTAGCAAATGCAGTGCAGCAAAACAGTGCATGGATTGCAGTACAAAAACCATATTGTTGTTCATTATGTCATACCACAATACAGCACCGGGATAGTGCCACAATGAAGCTGTTGGCCTATGCGAATACAAAATGTACCACATTGATTGACTATTCTATGTCAAGCCTATAAGACAGAAGCTTGCAATTTATGATTGACTGGTAACGACTGATTTAACAATACCAAAGGACTATCAACAGCAAGACTGCCATTGCACCACTGTGGTTATTCCAGGGTTAACTTTAAATTGCTTAAATAATCCTAAGCAAATAAAATTTTTGGTAGCCCAACCTCACCATCTTTACCATAGCAATAGCGATGTTTTGCCAATCAATTCATGGGAACTTTACAACTTAATTAATTTTCGCAAGATACCCCATTTCCAGTTACAAACAATAAAAAAGCAACTACTGTGCACACCACATGATATCAATTGACTACCGCACTGCAGGCAACGATGGGTCAACAATAAAGTATTGATAAGATCATCCAACAGCATAGCAGCAACAGCAGCAGCACAGCATATCGTGCTTTGATTTTAACAATCTGCCATAAAGACTGGCGATCGCTACGTTGATTACGTCAAACAGTCCACCAAAGCTTTTCTTACGGCCAGCACCTAGACAAAAATATTCACAAACAAACCACCCATTAACCCGCCATCCGACACAGCCCCCGCGACGAGGATGGCCGGTTGGCGTCAGCTTTCGTGTTTCGAGGTATTCTTTGGGTCTGGCTGCCAGATGCTGCCATGTATTGCTGTCCTCACAAAACCATTCCATGACGCCATCAAACAATGACGTAATGGGGTGTATTTTTACAAACTTGGAAATTTTCCTACTTTACGTTGTTTTTTAACCTTGAAAGCTTACCAATATTTACAAGTAAGCTTTTCCCCATCATATCTGATGCCTACTTCAAATCTTCAATTGTGGAACATTCCCTTCAAGTGGCAGTGCATGAGGGGGCAGGTTTGGATTTGTTCAAGGTCGCGACAACTGACCTTGAAGATATGGCCGGCGCTCGAATTTTATAGACAGTTTTTTTCAATTATTTTAGCGTAGGAGATAGGAATGTAGGATGTTTGAGCCATGCATTATCCCCTGGTTCCAGGCTGAGATTTGGCAAACTTTTGTTCAAGATTAACAATATTGTGTTTGTTGCTTATAAATTGTTGTGCTGGTCTGGCAGAAAACTTTATAACTAATGCGGCGTGCTGTCCATCTTAAAACTGAGATGGTCCGTTGAGTTGTCTGGAACATGTTGCGTTTCCTCGTGTTCACATTTTTATTCAAGCCGAATGATTCACCGACATAACACTGCAAGAAATGATCGGCTCAGATTCAGCTCATGCTGTTAACGAGGAATGTGATTAAGCTCATGACTCAGCGGCATTTTTCCCTAGTGAGCCCATTCATCTGATGACTCACCCCAATGTGATTGACTCGTGCGCCGATTCAGGGTCCAGCTGGAGTCGAACACAAATCAAGTCTCTAGTCACCATTCCCAAAATATAACTGCACCGCGGTCCCCCCCCCCCCCCCTTCTCGCCTGGGTGAGAGGCGGGCGACGCCATATAGCCTCAGCAGCTGAGTGCCTCACCAAGGCCCAAGGATTCAATGATCAAATCAAAACCTCTGTACGCATATCACTATGAGTAAAAAACAAAAAGGTCCAAACAAGGGGCCGTCTGAATCCGAGCAGCGTCACGTCGCTGTTGCAGCTGCAAGCAGCTCTGCCTGCAAGTCGCAACCGCAACATGCCGACCGTCCGTCACCCGACCCGCCGCCACGTGCAAAACCCGACAGCCGCCGGCGGCGGCGGCGGCTGTGTAGCGGTGATTCAGCGGCGCGAGAGAGGGAGGCACGCACCCGTCAAAACCACGCACCAGACCGCAGCCACCGTTCGTTTACGCGGCCTGTCCCCAAAATACGGGTCTATCTCAATGATGATACGTAGGATATCATACTCCCGCCACATCCCCTGCACGCGGAGCTGCCTTTGATTGCATTGCCCCCGCCCCCCCCCCCCCCCTGTCGGGGATTCTGACGCCGCCATTGCCGCGGAGTCTGACCGGAGGCGGGGTGGGGGGAGGGGAGGGGAAGTGCCGCCGCGCCGGCCGTTGCCAGGTCCGTTCTGTTCGAGCCGGCAGACCGAGGCTGCGGGACGTGATCAGGGAACGTCTGCAGGTATGCGAAACTTGGCCACTGCTGTGCCCTCGGATGTGTCTGGTGCGCGCGTCTGGTGAGATATGAGCATGGGAAGAAACTTGGCCACTGGTGTACCCACGGGATGTGTCTGTGCGCGCGTGTCTGGTGAGATATGAGCATGGGGAGAAACTTGGCCACTGGTGTACCCACGGGATGTGTCTGTACGCGCGTGTCTGGTGAGATATGAGCATGGGGAGAAACTTGGCCACTGGTGTACCCACGGGATGTGTCTGTGCGCGCGTGTCTGGCGGGATATGAGCATGGGGAGAAACTTGGCCACTGGTGTACCCACGGGATGTGTCTGTGCGCGCGTGTCTGGGGAGATATGAGCATGGGGAGAAACTTTGCCACTGGTGTACCCACTGGGTGTGTCTGTGCGCGCGTGTCTGGCGGAATATGAGCATGGGGAGAAACTTGGCCACTGGTGTACCCACTGGATGTGTCGGTGCGCGCGTGTCTGGGGAGATATGAGCATGGGGAGAAACTTTGCCACTGGTGTACCCACTGGGTGTGTCTGTGCGCGCGTGTCTGGCGGAATATGAGCATGGGGAGAAACTTGGCCACTGGTGTACCCACTGGATGTGTCGGTGCGCGCGTGTCTGGCGGGATATGAGCATGGGGAGAAACTTGGCCAATGGTGTACCCGCGGGATGTGTCTGGTGCGCGCGCGTCTGGGGAGATATGAGCATGGGGAGAAACTTGGCCACTGGTGTACCCGCGGGAGGTGTCGGTGCGCGCGTGTCTGGCGAGATGTGAGCATGGGGAGAAACTTGGACAATGGCGTACCCACTGGATGTGTCGGTGCGCGCGTGTCTGGCGAGATGTGAGCATGGGGAGAAACTTGGCCACTGGTGTACCCGCGGGATGTGTCGGTGCGCGCGTGTCTGGCGAGATGTGAGCATGGGGAGAAACTTGGCCACTGGTGTACCCGCGGGATGTGTCGGTGCGCGCGCGTATGATGAGGGATGAGCACGGGGCTGAAATGCCTGTGTCACTGCGCTGGGAGAAGGGGGGGGGGAGGGAAACTGAGAGAACACTGGCTCTTTGCCCAGCGTCAGTGTACAAGGCCATGATTGGACGACAAGCATACGAGCAAAGTCTGCGGAGATTATCCCCAACAATGTTTGCATGGTGTGTCCGGTGACCTTAGACTGCAGTGTTTGCTACCCGGTTGCTGACCTGTCCGCCTTTCCAGACATGGGTATGGACCTGTATTACATGGATCTGAGCGCCCCCTGCCGGAGCGTGTACCTGCTGGCCAAATCCTTGGGTATCGACATGAACCTCAAGGTCACTGACTTGATGAAGGGCGAAAACATGACGCCCGAGTTCATCAAGGTGAGCTGCATCGGCTGTTGATGAGACATTGTCACCGTGTGTCGGGGAGAATCATGTCGAATATGCGTACGGTGCACGACCTGAATGCCAGACGGTGCACGGGTCAGATGCCTCGAACGGTGCACGGGTCAGATGGCTCAGACGGTGCACGGGTCAGATGTTCCAGACGGTGCACGGGTCAGATGTTCCAGACGGTGCACGGGTCAGATGTCTCAGACGGTGCACGGGTCGGATGCCTCAGACGGTGCACGGGTCAAATGGCTCGGACGGTGCACGGGTCAGATGCCTCGGACGGTGCACGGGTCGGGTGCCTCGGACGGTGCACGGGTCGGGTGGCTCAGACTGTGCACGGGTTGGATGGCTCAGACGGTGCACACGATGAGTGTTGGACGGTGTCAGATGGCTTGGACGGCGCACACTGTCGGTGTTGGCTGGGTTTAGTTTCGGTCTTCTGATGTTCGGTTTATCGAGACCGACTTGTATTGAGCTGGGTGGCCTCTTCTAATGGCTGGTTTATCGAGACCGACTTGTATTGACCCGAGCGGTCCCTTCTGATAGGTGGTTTATCGGGACCGAGTTATATTGAGCTGAGCGGCCTCTTCTAATGGCTGGTTGATCGAAACCGACCTGTGTTGACCAGAGGCGTTACCTCACGTGCTCCTGTTACAGATGAACCCTCAGCACATTGTGCCGACCCTGGACGACAACGGCTTCTATCTGTGGGAGAGGTGAGCACTCGGCACGGACCCGCGCCCGGGCTTAGGGTCGCCGCTGAAGCGGCGGCGGCGCCCAATGCGCGCGTGGCGATGCGCGGATGCGCGATGCGATGCGATGCGATGCGGTTCAGCGAACCCTATTGCGTTGTAGGTCTGTTGATTAAGTGATAATACCACAGAAAATGACGTCATTTGCGTGCGTGATGAGCATGCGTCCGGTATTCGTTGGTGCAATTACATTTTAACAGATACTCGTGAGAAAACGGCGTTTTTTAATGGCATTCGAGTAGTAATCCGAGAATTCTGAACTGCTGGCTGGTTCACATTTCCGCCGTCTTTCGTTGTGCGATAGTTGAACTCTCTCAGCAGCAAAATCATGAATCTCATACAACCATAAATATCGAGGTTTTGTCCCGTGGCTGGGGGCTCGGCAACGGAAGTCTGTCTGTGAACAGAACTGCCACGCCGAGTGCCCTGTGGGCGGCTCGGCGCCCGGCAGAGTCCTGCAGGGCTTCCGAGCGCGGGTCGCGGCGATGCTGGTCTCTTCGAGCGGGGGTCGCGGCGACGCGGGTCGCGGCGACGGCGGTCTCTTCAGGCGCGGGCCGTGGCGACGCCGGTCTCTTCGAGCGCGGGTCGCGGCGACGCTGGTCTGCGACGCTGGTCTCTTCGAGCGCGGGCCGTGGCGACGCCAGTCTCTTCGAGCGCGGGTCGCGGCGACGCTGGTCTGTGACGCTGGTCTCTTCGAGCGCGGGTCGCGGTGACACTGGTCTCTTCGAGCGCGGGTCGCGGCGACGCCGGTCTCTTCATGGACAGCGTGTTGCCTCGAGGCAGTGGAGAGGTCCAGTGAAAAACGTAACATAAGCGTTCTGATGCACTTGTTATGCGCCTTCCCTTTCGGCTGTCCAATGGGATAAAAAAGTACACCGGGCTCGTTTTCAAAGGATATCGTATATTTCGTAGTTTGAAACGTTTTTGATATAAGGTCCAGGAGCGAAACGATGCTCCGATCTTCTGCCCGCCTTGACAAATTGCGAAGATGGATCGTTGGTGATGTAGCGTAAGAAACTGGGAGCTGAGTGAAACTAAGGTCCGTTATTTCGCTCCCCAACCGCGTTTTGGAGTTCGTCACGAGTCTGGAACAAACTTTCTTAAGGCACACATTGGTGATGTGCTGGCCATTCGAAATACCTATTTCCTTGATCCGAATGTATGGTAGCATATGTTGTACCCAGCTCAGTCATAAAGCATCCTTGATGTACACTTTGGTAACATATCTGTAGCATATGTGTAGCTACACAACCTTCAGCCTGCGTATAAGTCGCGTTCTGAAATCCCCATGGGGTAAGAACATTCCCTGGCCCCCTGGGCCTGTCAGCAGGGGAGGGGCACCAACCCCCCCGGCCCCCCCCCCCCCCCTGCTGGGTCGCCCATACCCCCTGCTTTAGTCGAGGGCAAGTGTAGCTATGCCAATGGCCGCCTGCACCATCAAAAAGTCCTCAGTCTCCGTTTTCCATCGCATGACCTCAGACCACCATCGCATGACCTCGGACCTCTGTTGCATGACCTCAAACCTCCGTTGCACGCCGCGTGCGATCCCCGCCATACCGCAGGGCGGGCTTCGCTGCCGCAGCGTGCCATGACTCACACGCCGCCGCCGCCGCCGCCGGGCTTCGCTACCGCAGCGTGCCATGACTCACACGCCGCCGCCGCCGCCGCCGCGCGCCGCGCGCCGCGCCCCGCGCCTCCGCAGACGAAAGCTGCTAGTCATTCTCCCAGCCCCCCACCCCTCTCCCACCACTGACAGCGCAGCACGCCAGCCGGGACGTCCGGCGTAGAATGTGACCTTCACTGCAACCTTGAGGGGTTAGATGAGAGCATGGCGGGCGGCCGGACCCATGGGAGGGAACCGGGCCAGCCGCTCTGTCCGCCGCCCGCTGCCTGGGAGATGAAAGGCCATTGTGTTACGGATTGGGCGGCAGTTTTTTGACCCAGTTTTTGCGGTTGTCGCGCTGGGGTCGCAGGGGCGCGTCTAGAGAGCAACCGTCAGTTAAAATTAACGGACACGTGGCTTATAACTTGCGTGTACAGTTAGCAAATCTTCCGCTCAGAACCTGCTGGATACCCTCCTTGTATTTCGTGTAACACGCGCTCGGGTGGATGTTTTTGAATGAATGAATGAATGTATTTATAATGATAAATGATTATCATGTATACAATACATTCATCTATAATAATACATAAATGTATTTATAATAAACGAATGAATTTGAACCCCGAAGGTTTTCCCAGAATGACTTCCGAACGGCACGGCGTAACCGCGCAAAACTTCTCATAGCTGCAGGCAATTACCTAGCAGGTCTTTTGGCATACAAATTTGATGTACCTTGCAAGATCGCAGACCTGTTGCATGTCCAAGTCATGCCATGGCCTTAAGCGAAGGTCATTATTTAGGAACCGTTCAAGGTAATGCGACAAAGGAGCGTTGGAGGAAGCCGTACACCTCGAGTTCTCTTTAAAAAGTTTTTGGGGCAATACAACATTTGAATTTAGAATGGCAACGAATTCCATACAAGCCACACAGCTCTAGTACCCTCTAGCAGGGGCGGATCTAGCCTGGAGTTTGGGGGGGGGGGGGCAACCGTTCGTCGCCAGTTGGCTGGTGTGGGATCCGAGGTCCAGTGCATAGTGCCTCTCGCGAGTACCTAGTAGGGACACCATTGAAGTACCGAAATGCTTTTGAATCTTCTACATACAGTATGCATGTTTATAATGCTCGTAACATAATCTATTATTTTCAAGTCAACTGGTCAGATGGAGTTTATTGTAAATGGTGATAACAGACGGTAAGTAGACGAAACTTTTATGAAGCTCCGGAAATGTTTTGGGAGGCCAAAACATACATGCAGAGTTTTTTGGGGGGCTATGGCCCGTGCCCCCCCCCCGCCCCAGGATCCGTCTATGCCCTCTAGATAGGTTCTGAGGCAATACAACATTTAAATTTAGAATCACAACAAATTGCATGGGCCTAGCGTGGGGCGTAAAGACCGTACCAAAGTTGGAACTAACCTGCTTTTTTACTCGTAAGCTTGCCTTGTGAAGTAGTTTCTGATGCTCATTTCGAGTTTATTAATTGCAGGAACTGCAGCAGACATGTTCCATGGACTTCTTAGAAGTGAAAGTAGCTGATTAACCTAAAATGACCCACTTCAACATTTTGATTTTAGGATCATACCGCCCAGCATAATCCCTGACGCTTATTCAAATGGCGAAATAGAAACGATCCACTAGGTTTTTGGTGACCTTGACCCTCTAAAGGAAAAAGGTCACTGACCTCAAGCGAACCCAGCGTCTTTTCGCTTACAACAGGTGTCTATGTTCAGGGCGGTTACATGAGGTCTGGGGGCACTTCGGACACCAATCTGGAGTTCAGTCTTGTTTGACCTTGCCGTAGCCCAAGGCTCACCCATGAACCTCAAATTTTATCACAAGTGATTTCACACACAGTCCATCCCACCCAGTGGATTTGGTGTCTCCAGATTTCTCAGCTTTTGAGATCTCAGGGTTTAGATTGCCCCCCGCCCCCCAGCACTTGAGCGGGGGGGGGTGGCATTCAACCGGCCACCCCGGCGCGTGTTATTTGACGAACCGCTGAACCCCACAGATAGCTTTTGTACTGGGCGCCAAGCTGCTTCAGGTAATGCATATCTGCACGACTCGCATGAGTGTCGACTTGACATCCCTAGATCGGCTGCGGCTTGATGGTCCAGTGATAGAGAAGTGCTCCAGTTACGGACTCCTTCATGTTCCCACCCATGGAGATCATTTATGTTACATTAAAGGAAGTGTCTCGCCTTTGCGGCATAGTTCTCAAGCACACTCGGGTGTTACCTTAGTTACTAGTTACGTCTACTGGGTAGTGCCACTGCTGCACCGTCAAGACATAACCAGGATATCAATTTTAATTATTTCCAGGTCCACATCACACTGTCAACGCTATGTAACAGCACTACGCTTTTTCCCTGCAGTTGCAACCACCGTCGCCATGACAACGACTGTGCGCGCCTCTACTGGTGCGAATAAAAACTTTTTGATTGGCCTGGCGGGCAGGAGCCTGCTGCTGAGAAGCTGTTTGGTTCAAGTTTGAACCAGCGCGTCACATGGATTCACATTTCCATTCCCAAAGTAAAAGTGCGCTTTGAAATGAACCACTGTGGTAAACGCCATGTGGTAATAAATAAAAGTCATCGCATAACTTTTCGCTGAATTGGCGAAATAATAGCATACTTTGCCTTTTAATATGCCATATGCCTTTTTTCCTAAAGTGTTTCAAGCTTTCATAGCATTCATTACACAAACGTTTTGACACATTAGTGTGTTGCAAACAATACAGAAAGCACACGTTGGAAAAAAGCTGGACATATGAAAGGTATTTCTGTCAGTGGTGAGCAGGGATTCAGAGATTTCTCCCGCTGTGTCGGTTACTTCAAAAGCTAAATTCTGATCTATTCGGAACGATTTCGAGGAAACTGGTATTATTGATCAAGTCGTACACGCCTCTTGTAACAATAAGCGAAAAATGCAAGACGGGTGGGGTACTTCCTTAATTTCCTTAATTTATGACTTTGCCCTCTGAGGGCCCCCCCCCCCCCCCCCGCCCGCCGCCGTCCTGGTGTCGTCTATGGCTACCAAATTCCGCCAGCCACTGTCTGAATGTTCATCGCTTATATTGCATCAGCACGCCGTCAAATGACACAGCAGATGCACGTTGCCACGTTGCCACGTTGCAGACACAGCAATGCACGTTGCCACCCGCCAGCGGGTCCTTGCAGCGCAGCAACGCGTTGACCTTGAAACATGCGGCTCGCGCTACAATCCCTGGCGGCCGCACCCGGCAACTGAGCGGGAATGCTGGTTCAGCAACGCCTGCCCGTGGTTTGCTGAGGCCGGAGTGTAACTACCGGATTCCAGTGCAATGGGCTCTAGTCCCTCCCCCCCCCCCCCGCCAATTTTCAGAAGAAAGCGGGACAAATCCGTGGGGGAACACGTTTGTTGGCGTACTTTTTGTGCGGGGTGGGGGGGGGGGGGGAGGGCGTAGATTCTGTCATTTGCCGTTGCTCAGCCTCTCCAAATAATTGTTTGCGAAACCACGCCCCCTGCGCTCAGGTTGATGGTGCAGTGGAATCGACACTGGGTGGTGAATTCTGGGCTTCCCAGTTGATGCTGACGCGGCGGTCAGATTACGCGCCCGGGGGGAGATAGAGGATTGATGGGGAAGCGAGCAATTCTGGTGGGGTCTGATTGGCGGCCAAGAGTTTGGTCACCCTACGCAACAGTTGACATTTGTGTTTATGCTAAATGAGCTGCGATGCGAAGTGCGTCGCACAACTGAAACAACATGTTATTGCAGCCGTCAAAAAGCTAAATAGCACAAACGGCGTGCGTGCGGCAAAGGGAGTCATATTTCCTGAAACAAATGGTCGGCTGCGTTGCGAGCCAACAGCTACCCCGATCTTGATGCTCCGCGGCGTGGTTTGCGTCCCGGTGAGGCGGACACTTCTGACGTCACAAGATCCGGAACATAGCGGGGGTAACGACAGGTCAGGCGAAATCGCATCAGATCCACACGAAATGCAAAAAGGCTAGGCTACCCGGATACGGTGCAGCAGTCGAGCCCATCAAAGGAGGCAAAATATTCGGATATCTCGTGGGGCTATCAAATAGCGACCGGTTCCACCAGTCATGGCAAAACGGCAGGCAGACATCAGGACCAACGCAGCTGCTAGTCCTACAACAACCAGTATAGCAGACAACCAATAACTTTTGTATATATATTTTTTGCAATTTTAAGAGGACTGTCGTACCTGAATCCTCCTAAACCGGCTCTGTGTCATGCAACGCATGCACCACTTGCTGGCATAAAATATCACTTCATTTTTTTGGGTCTCGAAATTAAGGGAGGTGAATTTTCAACCCATTGATTTACACATGTGTAATGAATTGGCGGCTCCCGGATCGTATGTCGCCAAAAGTTTTTTTTTAATTTCACCTGATCATGAACGCTAATACGGAAGGTTTCTTACGCGGCTCCTGGTAAGGAAATTTTGAATCTTTGCCACATGTGAGGACATTGACGCAAGCATCAGATATGACGAAACAAGCTCACTGATAGCATTTGGTCTGCTTCCTAAGTGGAAAAGACTGCTCAAGGCAGCACGATTTTCTATTCAGTAAGTATGCTCATCGAAACAACATCGTTTGATTGCGTCATCGCACCTGGCGCAATATTGAATGAGGTGAGGCCCAAGTGACGGCCGGTATATCTGTAAATCGTGCTCACGAACGCCAGATATGAACGAATCGACAAAATAGTCCGCACATCATCGCGGGCATGTAGCTCGAAAACTAGAGGGCTTTAGGTTTTACGAAGGACAGGGCTGTGGACTGTTCTGAATGGTCTTCAATGTGGCTATTTCAGTTCAAAACCTCACAAGAAATGTGGAACACCTCTTAAACATTATTTTAGGCGATTTTCTGATGCTGGCGATAGTTTCGTTTCGGGAGCGATTTCTAGCTTGCGGTGGCACAAATAGTAAAAAGGCACAAATAAGAGGGAGGCGCGCAACCGTTGTCACCACGCGTTTACTAGCGCGCCGCGAAAGCTTGCTTGACATCCGACCTTAAGGACGCTTTTCCCCCCGAGGCTGTCGTATCGATGGTCTTGCAGACCGAATGGTCGGCGTCGCCTGGCCGGCCGGCCGCGTCGCTGCGCTGTCTCGTCGCCAGTCCGCTTGTTTGTTTATTGGCTGTTGAGCAGCGCAGCGGTCAGCTCTGGACAGCGGCGTCGGTTTCACAACCAGCTGCAAAAGCATCGACGACGTCTGGTGTGCGTCGAGAGCGACGGAGGGGGGGGGGGAGGGAGGAGTTTTCGCTCCGACCTGCCGTCCGCGCGGCCGGCAGGTCGCGGCCAGAGGCGCTTTCCCCACTGCCGAACGCTGTCCACTGTCCACAAATTGCAACCTATGACGTCACGAGTACGTGCGTCACAACGGTCCTGAGGCTAGGAGTGTATACATTGGTGTATGACGTCATAGGTAGCAACCGTAGTAGGCACTTTGCCGACGGGGAACGCGGCCCCGCCCAGTAAGGCCCCGCGGGGGCGGCATCATCAGCGGCGGGGCCCCGCGACACTGACGTCATCAGCGACGATCCAATCGGTGTTCATTAGGTCGGGTCGGGTCACCGCACGAGAGGAACGCGTCGTGCCGACCTGGCGCTACGCGCTGCACCGCGCACAAAACAGCAATATTGGAACACTCGTTCTAGAGAGAGTCCTGCTCACCCCGTTTTGTCTTAACTAGCACATCAATTTTAAAAAAATCCGAGGCAAGTTTTGTGTGGTGCATTCACCGAGATGAAAGCGAAGCATCAAGCTGAAATTAAGCTAACAGAGTGAGGGGCAGACGCCATACAGACTCGCCAGCTGGCTGCAAAGCGAAGGCCCGTTGACGACGGTTCCGCCTTGCTTCGCTGATTGTTGAATGGCTGATCGGCCTCGTCTGGCCGCGACCTCATTAACCTCCTGCCCTTCCCATTACCAAGCGCACCACTCGGACAGAAGGACAGAAACTCCTGCGCGCGTGCTTTCTTGCGCCATTGGAGTATGCAGCAGCTAGGGAACCACGGGCGCAAAACTCGGTCGAGTTGGTTGACTTGAATCTCGCGCTTGCCCTTGCCTGTGGTGCAGCTCGTGTCCGGCGAACACCGCACGAAGCCTCACGCCATGCTGACATGCCCCTCGCCGCCGCAGCCGAGCCATCCTCACGTACCTGGCGACCAAGTACGACTCCGGGAAGAACTTCTACCCGTCGGACCCGCAGGCGCGGGCAGTGGTGGACCAGAGGCTCTACTTCGACATGGGCACGCTGTACGAACGCTTCGCCAAGTCCGTGGTGAGTGCTCAACTGCATGAGTGGTTCGCGCCAGCACTTAGGCATTTGCAGAAGCAGTATTTTACAGAGGCCCTCATGATGACTGCTCAGGGGGTCTCCTCGAGTAATGCTTTGGGGTGCGCAGAGTTTCCGGAGAGTGGATGTTGAAACGAGTTGAGCTTGGCTTACTTCGGACTATTGGGTGGCAGGAATGGGCGAGAGGCACTGTAACGTAACTTGTTTAAGTGCGTGCGGACTTACACCACACGGGTTTTTTCGACATGCACGCCTCTTTTTCGTGGAAAACGTTCTCCCAATTATGTGATTTCATCACAGGCTAAGGCAGGATTTTGGTTTGGGATCGAGGGAAATGCATCATGCTGTTTTTCATCAGCTGCCTGACAGGAGCAATTAATGAAAAATATTTAGATACATGGGTCTAAGGGAAGGTGGGGGGGGGGAGGGGGGGAACTTCGGTCATTTAATTCTCCGACCGTTTTTAAGTTTATCGACCTTCATGAAGAACTGTTTGGTTGCCTTGGTGCTCGGCTTCGGGTCATGCACGCGACCCAAAGCCGAGCAGACAATTGGAATGTTCTTGGATTTGCAAACTTTGAATTGGGGCCTCCGGGTTACGGGACGATCAGTCTACCACTGAGCCGCCGCTGTCCTTCCCGACGAACTCAGAGGCAGAGCGCTGGGGTCTCAATCAGAAGACCCGGGCTCCGGTCCCAATGTGTGCCATTGCTGCACGTGGCTGCCAAGCATCATCCAGCCATTCTTGGGTCTTGATAATACCAGGCAACGACCGGAGGACTAACTGGCTGAAATGGTGTGCGCCTACCACTTACCGGCCCACAAGACGATGGCGGTGGCTCATTCGCCATCATTCCACCGTCGCACTTGTTCTTTGGCAGTACCCGCTGATGTTCGAAGGCGGCAAGTCCGTGGACCCCGAGGCGGTGACCAAGCTGAAGGAGGCGCTGTCCTGGCTCAACGACTTCATCGGCACTGCTGGCCACGTGGCCGGCGATAAGCAGACCGTGGCCGACTTCGCCATCGCCTCCACCGTCGCCTCTATTGAGGTGAGGCTGGGCGAGTGTGGCGTCTGGCTAGGTGCCGAGGGGTGACCGAAACCGCGGCCGAAGGATGGTGAGGATGTACGCCGCTAGGATGGTGTTAAGTTCGGGCTCCCAATGCAAGATGTCAGTGTAAATGGTGCCGCTTCTGAAGGACCGGGACCCCAGCATTCCGGATTAAGTGTTTGGAATGGTTTGAGCATGGTAATCTGAAGTCTTGAAGGCTTCCATTCCTCTTGAACGCAAGCATCGGGCAAAAGTCAAAATGCGTGATGTTCTGTGGAATTTAGAGGCAGTCATTTCTAACGTGAAATAGTATATGAGCAGGCTTTTTCCATATCAGACGTAGAAATCACATTGTGATTATGCCATCGAAATTCGATGATAATTTGGATATCCCATGCATTTGATGTTGGCGCCCAGACACTCCGTCTCCAGTTCCCGATCCGGTCCACCTGAACGTATGCCATGACCGCGCGGCGCTCGCCCTCAGGGAACTGGAGTGGTGAATGTGTCTGACTACGCCAACGTCCACTCCTGGCTGGAGTCTCAGAAGCGTCTGCCTGGCTACGCCGAAGCCAACGACGTCGGCGCGAAAGAGTTGGGCGACCTCTTCAAGCAGGCGCTTGCCAAGGTGGCATGAGCGCGAAGCTCAGATTCCGTTCCTAGAGACAAGATGGCAGGAGTGTAGAGCGCCGCCATGCTTGCTTTTCCGTCGCCGAAAAAGGCATTCGGCTCAGCGCCTTAAAAACATTCCATTTACAATGATTTGGAGAGACGAGCTACGAGCTACGCTCTACGAGGAGAGCTACGCTCCATTGGCGTGCTGCAAGAACGGAACGTTTGGCCAGCACAGCCCCTCAAGTGGGCTGAATGCTGTTATGTTCCTGCGCATTTTAAAGCGGCGCATTGCGCCATATTGGGCATCTAAACGCGTTTGTTTTGGCGCGAGAAATACTCTGCGGCTAGGGTGCGCTGCGCATGTGCGATCCATGACGAACTGCCTTGTCTCATGATGTACACCGGTTAATACACGGAAACATCAACTGCAACGCCTTTTTAAAGGACTTTCGTGAAATGATGCAAAAGGTCTTGAAGCTGCTTAGTAATGGCAGTTGATGTTACAAGCGTGCTGTGAATTAGGGCCTCCCCTAGGTAACGCAAACGGCATAAGAGTGAGATCATGATCATCATATGAGATCCGTTCAGTTCAGCTCAGTTATTATATTCACGAACCATTCCAACTAGTAGTAGTAGTATGAATGCAAGATCAAATCATAACAACGCTACCTCATTCGCGCGTTATCGACCATCCAGTCGTTCGCGCAACTTAATAAAAATCAAAATCATTTACCAGAATATGAATCGTCAAGACATGTTACACAACGGCAAACAAGCAATGCTTACACAACGGGAGCGTCCAAATCCACTAGCCTGTTGCGAAATTCATCGCGGGAGCGAGAGGTGGTAATGGTCGGGGGCAGGTGGCTCCAGGACGAGGCCGCGCGACACGAAAAGCCTTGCGTACCACCGACAGGCGAAGAGGTGGCAGATCAAGGGCGCCCGCCGTTGCCGCCCGGGCGGCACGCTGGCACACAGAGGCACGTGGGACGAACAGAGAGCGGGTCGCCACCGGAGCCCGCGAGTCATTAAGGACCCTGAATGCGGCGAAGCCGTGACGGTGGATGACAGGGACACTAACACTGCGCCAGCCCAGCGCTTAGCAGCCGCCGCCATTGAATCGCGCCGGCAAGCATCGGGGACGACCCCGGTCGCAAAGTTTATCACCCATTGCACCCTGTTGAAGTGACGCGCTGCAGCCTCAGCTTGCTTCTGAGAGACAGCACAGACCATGAGGGAAACATGGGACTGGATGAGAAGCTTACGGACCCCGGGCGCAGCGTGGTGATGAATTTTTACTAGCAGTAAAAGACGGAGTTGCACTTTTCAACAACATAGGGTCTGCGCGTATCCCAAAAAAAGGTTGCCTGTAACAATATCTCCAGCATCTTCATGGAAGGCAAAGGCCTTAATTTGTGTCCCGCAGTGTCAAGGTGAACAGATAAGATTTTCTTCAGGCATTGTGGAGTTCCAAGGAGACGGACTGCTTTAATGGGTTTCATTTTAAGGGAGTTCGATGCGAAGTAGGATTAAATCACTTCATTAGCTTCCTCCTGTCTGTATTTTAAAACAGATGGTTGGTCTGGATGAGCGGGGTGTAGCAGTTGGGTGTCGTCGGTACAGCACGCTAAAGGTCCGTGCCCATGCCGTCCCACTACCCTGGATGTCGACTGTTCGTTCATAGCCCTCGGCAGTTGGTCTGGATGAGCGGGGTGAACAGTTGGGTGTCGTCGGCACAGCACGCTAGAGGTCCGTGCCCACGCCGTCCCACTACCCTGGATGTCGACAGTTTGTTCATAGCCCTCGATCGTTCGGGCAAAGTCGGAGGGCACAGTCTCAGAATGGCAGTGGCTACACCCGGCGGCCTTGGTGGAAGAAGGGGACCGCCGAGGCTGCGTACTGCTAGTTCGGCAGCGATGCTTTGGCCGACGGAGGCGAAGTGCCGGTTAAATTCGTCGGCCTTTTCTACGGGCGGTTCTCAGTGGCACCGCTTCGTCTCTTTGCTGGCTCGAAAGCGAAGTTTTGATCATTTCGCCAGAAGCCAGCGCGTAGATAAGACAGTAGTGTTAGCATTGTTCCTCGGAAAACTGGGAGAATGGAGATATAGCTAGGTTGATACTTCGGCAGCATGCCCTTCTCGAAACAATAGCAGAAGTGAATCCCAATTGCCTGTCGATACTCCTACTCGATTTTCAGGTTTTTTTTTAAAAACAGCAAGCCACAGTTTTTACAAGACACCAACATACAGGGGATTATTCCTCGGTTTTCTGAGGAATAAGGCTAACGCTACTGTCTTATCCATGCGAATAATGTTCCTTGCTAATGCACTGAACAACTTACGTAATTCAGAAACCAGCACGGTCGGTGAGCCTGGCATCGCACAAGAAGCCACGCCCCGACCTCGCAAACTGGCCTTTGACGCGGTCCCGAAAACATCGTTGAGCCGGCAGGTCGGTGTCGGCCCGAGAATCGCACCATACTCTGTACGCGTCATCGCGCTGCCGCATCACGCGTCGCAGGTCAGGGCGGTCCTCAAGCCATGGACAGTGGGAACGACGACGGAGAGATGCGGTTTTAAGGGCGTAATGCAACTCCACCAAACTCCACCAAACTCCGACACACTCGACCACGCGCGCATGAACTTGGTTGCTTCCTGCTCCGCTTCTTCATACCGGTAAACTGAACTCCAGTTCGTCTGCAGAAGACCGAGGCGGAGTGCATGCCAATTAACCTTGCACCATAGACGCCCGGTGTAAGGCGCCGGGCGCCAGCGGGGCGACTGAATGGTGCGCGAACAATAATCACCAGATGGCGATCGGCTCAGTCGACACCTGGATAGATGACCCCAAATCAGGAGTGTTGGTGATGACGTCATCTAAAAGAGTCTCGGTCGGGTCCAGGTGCGTAGGTGTCTTGATGAGTTGGAGTAGACTGAGGTCGTTCAACACAGAGCTACAACGACCCACACCAGCACCGTCCGCGCGTAGAAACCCGCTGTTTATGTCGCCCAGGCAGAGGGCCAGCTTACCAAGGCTCACAGCAGCATGCAGTTGGTTATATGAGTTGTCCAGACTGTCGGACACCGGCTGGGACGGTAAATGACGCCCACAGTAACAGAACGATGTCCGCCGCCCGAGATCCGCACCCAGAGCGACTCGTAGGCACCTCCTGTACTTGTAATTTGAGGGACGCTTATGGTGATGTTCTCCCAGCAAGGGCATAGGATTCCCACACATTGATCGCACGTTTTCGTCCACAGAATAATTTCGTCGCGTTTCAAAAGTGAAGAAGTACCGGACTGGATTTCATTTACTGACTGGATGTAGGCCCGAAGTCACCTAAACCCCTGAAGTTGAAGTGTTCTTGATGCCAGTCAAAGCACAGCAGAGCACCCTGAGGTGACCGTAAGTGAAATGTTACACGCACTGATAAGACATGTAGTTCGATTGAGTGGGTAGTTTTTGTGCAACGCCGGGTTAAATGGATAGCACCGATTTTGTCACAATCCACGCAGCAGACAAAACAATTGGAGGTCGTTGCGCTCGCAGTTGTAATTTTAAAAATCTGCTAACGCAATGTTTCTGCCGTTCTTGTCCACGCGTCACGCAGCAGTTTTGTGCCAGAACCCTGTGCTTGTCGGCAAACAAACCAGACACATTGACAGCACACTGTATTTCAACGAACAGACCCCTGTGACGGGTAGTTTGAACACGTAGCGTCTTAACACTATGACAACCGTTCTGGTGGATTTCTCACTCACTCCGCGCACACATCGCTTGTCAGAAAATAAGGGACTGTATACATCCAATGCATCAGTGGACTTATCATAGCCACGGCACTGCCGTCTGGCTTGGGTCGACTTTGCTATCGGGGCTATGAAAGCTGTGTTATTACACGCGCTATTTGACCCAAGTTGATCACGGCGTGCTCCCTGCCTCGAGTTCACAAATCGATCTAACGTCCTTGACCGCACCCTGTACGGCTATGGGAACCAGGGGCGGTACAATGGCTTCTTGCCTCCCCCCCCCCCCCCCCCGCCTCCTCTGGTCCACCCTCATTCCGTGGGGCACAGGGATCGAAGGAGACCGAATTTTAAACGACTGATCTGACTTTTTCTAGGGAAAAATGAAGAGTCCCTAGCGGCCTGCGCTCGGGAGCAGGGCCAGGGGAATGCTGACGGCAAATCCCTCTGCCCGTCCCCCACATAAAAGGAGGACACTTTTAGTGTGTATGTGGGGGGGGGGGGGGTACACTCTCTACATGACGCATAAGACATTACACTAGTATCACGATGCCGCACCTCGCCACGTCTCGCGGTCGCCAGCGCCGGCGCTGGCGCCGCGGAGGGGTCGGAGCGTTCGCACTGCCAAAGCAGCATACCCGAGCTGACTCTTACAAACCACGCGGTCTTATCACAACGCAAACGAGCAATGTCCGCTGACAAATCGGACGGGCTGCACAAGCTCGTAGGTTGCGTGATGACGACGCAATGGACGGTGCTTTGACGTACAGCGTCGCTGGTCTTCTTCCATGCGGGGTCATGCACGCCTATGCACGGTTGCGATGCATTTCGGTCACAATTGCCCATGTTGCCTGTGGTATGCAGCGCAACTGTTCAATGCCGCGGACACTGCAGACAGGATCTGCAGTGTCCAATTACGTTCGTTTCACGCCCTTCCACTCGGCGCCTGTGTTACGTCCTTCCACTTCTTCGACACCTCCTTATGCACAAATGCATCCTTACCCTTGTCCTTGGGGATCGTGGGAAAACATGCTATCTGCAGCCTTGGCGACTTGCCAGAGTTAGTGCGGAACTCGGGCAGAATCTGATGCCGGGAATGAGCACAGCCATGCACAGAGCACTCGCAAACATCTAGTTGTAACACCCGTGTGTTATGAATGTCCCTTGGGCCGCCTGACAGGCGGTGAAAGTCCGTTCTGAGGGCGGCCGTTGCTCAGAAATAAAGCGGCGGCGAGCGAAGGACCCAGGTGAGCGCGGTCATCGGATCGCCGGCCGCCTACTTCTGCATGTTGCTGTTGAGCCACTCCGTGTACTGAGCGACGCGAGTGTAGATTCCCGGTTTGTTGGCCTCGGCGCACGAGTCCCCCCACGAGACCACGCCCACCAGCTGGAACTGACCTGCGGCAGCCAGTCAGCGGCGTCAGCGGCACATACACACCCAATCAGCTATGACACGGGCACACGGACAGCCGATCAGTGGAGCAGCGTCAGCGACACCATGAAGCCAATCGGCAGCACCGGTGGCACGCAGACCGTGCCAGTGATTTCGATGGTGTGCGGCCAGTCGGTGACGTCACTGGTACACAGACAGTCAATCAGGGGTTTCGGTGGCACGCAAAAAGCCAGTCGGTGACGTCAAAGGCGCGCAGCCGGTCAATGAGCGTCATCAGAGGCAGTCGTCGCTATCAGCTGCGTGAACGACCAATCAGCAATGTTAAGGGTCATTCCCGCAAACAGAACTGAGTTACGACCAGCTATTATGATACGAAAATATAAAAAAACAGAAAACATACTACGGCCATCACTATCTATCAAATATCGCCAGAATACAGTGACCCGACATTATGTCATTAGTGTCCGAAATGAGTACGGATGACTCCAGGAAACCGATCAAGCCTTCTCGCTCTGCGGTGGTCAACGACCCGACTCCTGAATCGATGCTGGATAACCGCACGGCGTCGGTTGGGTCACGGGAGGTCATGACCACCCGACACCGCATCACGACCGGTTGACTACGAGTCAGTGTTGACTACGAGTCAGTGTTGACTACGGATGCGTGTCGTCCCCTCGCTCTCACCATCGACCTTGCAGGCGAGCGGGCCTCCGCTGTCGCCGCCGCACGCGTCGGCCCCTCCGCCCAGGTAGCCGGCGCACAGCGTGCCTGCAGCAGTGCACACAGCGAGTGCAAAACAACACCACGATAGATGTAAACAGCATCGCAAATAACAGCCCGGCAGACGTTAATGGGCATAGAGCAAGAGTTATGTCTCAGCACTTGTATTCATAACAGGGACTAGACGGCAACAGAATTGCGCACAACACGACGGACAAAGGTCGACGGAGCGAAAAGCAGCTACCACACGAAAAACATATAAATACCGTTTTCACAGTGATAAATTTTCAAATGTGCCACATTAGCATCTGAATCCGCATGCCAACTCACACGGAACGTAATGAAACCACAGTTCTGTGACTCAATCCATCAGAAGAATTGATCAGTTCCCTTCTGAAAGCGTTTTATTCCGCCTAAAATGGCCCGTCATCAGGAGTGCTGACATAAGGCGGGATTGAGAATAGAACCCAAGCCCCCATGACACTGTTCTGCCCCTGCGACCTCTCAGCTGAAGCCAGCGCGCGCCTGCGCGTGCTCACCGTCCGGGAAGTAGTGTTTCTTGTTGCCGTACACCTTGGCCGAGCCACACGTCTTCGGGCCGATGACACCCACGCGAGCCGCGCGCAGCGTGGTGGCCAGGCTCGCATCGTCATTGGCTGCCGACAGCGATGACGCAGGACGGGTCAGACCAATCAGAGGCAGCATCGCCGCGCCCAGCGCCGAACTTGTCCCGACCTGGTCCGGTCCGGCCCGGCCCGGCGCGACCCGACCTGACCTGACCCAACCCGACCCGACTGGACCCGAACCCAACTGAACCAAACTGAGCCGAACCAAACCGACCCGACCCGGCTCGGCCCCGCCAGGCCCGACCCGACCCGACCCGACCCGACCCGACCCGACCCGACCCGATCCGATCCGATCCGATCCGATCCGATCCGATCCGATCCGATCCGATCCGATCCGACCCGACCCGACCCGACCCGACCCGACCCGACCCGACCCGACCCGACCCGACCCGACCCGGCCGGTTGCACTCACGGTTCATGCGGCCCCATCCGGAGACGACACAGTCCAGGCCGTCCTTGGGCTCCTCGAACGGCGGCGGCAGGCAGATGGGGCGCGCCCGCTCGCTGTAGACGGACTTCTTGCCGGGCGGCGTGCGCAGGCGTAGCAGCGCCAGGTCGTGCCGCTTGCTCTCTGCCCGCCCCGGGGTCAGAGGTCAGGTCAGGGGCCGGTTCGGCTCGAGGCGAGGCGGGAAAAACTCGTGAGATGACTCGTTACTCGACTCGATAGCCAGCTCGTTAAGGCTTATTGGTGACAAAAGTGTGCGACAATCATACTCAGCGCGGTGGGGCGTGTCATTTGGCTCCTGTCGTTCTGTGATTGTACTGTTTTTGGCCCACAAAACGCAGACCAAGATGTGCAGGACTTCAGTAGGCAGCAGCTACCTGGTGAAGTTAAGTAGTCTTGCAATCGAATGACATGATACAACCAACCGTTTGATGTCGGAAATGGGCCAATGAGTGGGAAATTCTTCGAGGACTGAATGGATTTGGATGACTTTTGGATATCTGGATATTTTTGGATGACTTTCTCAGTGTTTGATGATGACTTTGCTTGATATCTGATGTGTATTTGATGATGAGTTGATGTCCGTTAGTTGATGTGATGCGGATGACTGACCTTTGCTGTAGGCCGGGTGTATGATGATCTTGTCGACGGGGAAGGCCCGCTCCATCTCGTCTGCCTCCTCCAGGTCGTGCTCGCCCAGCACCACCACATACTCGTCTTTGCTGAGAGGTGCAGACAAAGCGCAGCCATTATGTAACGCCTCTCAACGGGCTGCCGGCGCGGCAGAGTTTGGAGGAAGATAGCAATGCAGTTTGCAAGTGTTGAAACGAAGTCGCGTGCATCAGTTCGCAGCAGCAGCATCTGAACAGCAGCAAACAATTTGTATTCATGGTTTGTGGAGGTAAAGGGAATGACGCAACGCATAATAACATTTGTAGCCACATTTATGATAGCTTCCCCTCTATGTCTCTTTATGCAACGAAACCCACCACCGTCTTTGAATGAGCTTCATCCTTGTGCCCCTCCCCCACGCACACACATACACACACATACAGCACAGTTGGTGGCGTCTGATGCTACTGTTTTCGAGTCTGGAATCAGTTCGCTGCCCGGTACATTGGCTTGAACTGTAAGCCCCATTTACTTATGTGTGACGATGCAGTGAGCTGCCGTCACGATGTGCAGTGGAGAGACGATGGCACCGCCGCAGTGGTGCCCCCTGTAGCCGTCCTTCACAACCTTAATCTCCGCCTGCCGACGGAAGACGGCAGGATCGTATGCAGCTCAAGATATCGTGCCTAAGTTACGCGAGTACGAGGGCCACACCGTCAGCCGTTTTCCATGCTTCAGCCAATGAACTAGCAAAAAGAGACACCAAAACGTGCATTTGATGAACGATGGGGAAGGTGCCCTGGGCCTGAAGCAATGATTAAGTCGGATTCAGGTGCAGTGGCGCGGCCAAGGGCGAAATTTCTGTAGCCATTTCGCCTCCCCCCCCCCCTTCTTTCAGGCGGCGAGGCGAAGCCTCAAGTGCTATTTGTCAGCTTAAGAAGGATGGAAGTGTTCTTTAAGATAAAAAAAAAATTGGTCAGCGAGGTCTCCAGACGAAATCCTGAGTCTATAGAGGCCGCCAACATCACCATAACGAGACTCTTATAACGACACCCCCTCCCCCCCCCCCACATTGAAAGGGCTCTCATGGCCCGATTCGGCACCCTCCTGGGCAAAATCCTGGCTGCGCCACTGCCGAGGTATAAGTACAGAAGCCTCCGATGCCTGGCGACTGTTCTGTCAGTGATTTCGTTGAGAAGCTAGCACACTCAGCGCCATGCTAATCGCCCTAACCATCATCAGTCAACTGAGTGAGCAGCTCATTGAGACTGGGGGCGTGCCAGCGATGCCATTGGCCTGGTTAGGCCCAGCACACTGTCCGGGGCCCCGGCCACTTGTATAGGCTCCGCGCAGGGTGGCGGTCCGTCAACTTTGCGCGTCCTCCCTAACTCCGCGGAAGCTTCCAGAAAATTGCGTGTAACTTAGCAACATTCTGCTCAATCGGTGCCTCTTCGGTGACCTCTGCGACCCACCTGCCAGGGGAAGGCGCCGTAAGGCACCTCACTGCCGCCCACGATGCGCGTGGTGGCCTGGGCCTTCTGCGGCGGTACATAAAACACCGTCTGGCTGCCACACTTGGCGCTGCGTGCAACGCGTGCGGACCGACCGTCGCGACCCTGGCGGCCGACTCTGGAAACACACGGCAGGTTCGCGGACTGAACATTAGATGGCGGGGTTGTAAAACGGGGGCTATTTAGACTGCTTTGAAGCCAGAAGCACGCGGTCATGAGACGGACCAGAGGTGCACCGGATCATGAGGCCAACGAGCCACACACACCGAAGGTCATTCAAATATTTACGCCAGTTGTCTGCTTCAGCAGGCCACAGAAACAGGAGCCAAGCACTGCACCCAGAGTCGACAACCAGCCATCCAGTCCCGGTCGTAGCAGAAGTATACCACTACATGAGGATAACTGGCAAGTGTAGCTGTAACTCCATCGCGGCGAGTTTGTTGGTGCACCTCGTTGGTGCAGTTCCTCATGCACTAATTACAGTGAGTCGGGCGAAACATTGCTTTTTGGAATTGACGAGCACGATAGGTACCGGACGTCATGGACAAGGAATGTGAGGATGTAATCAAGGGTCGTATTCTGGGTCCCTTGAGTTCCTCTAGTCCGCTCCACCTACACAAATGTTTGTGTCAGCTCTTCCAACTGCGTGGACTGCACACCGTCCAAGGGGTTTCTGAGGGGCATGCTAGGAGCGAAAACAATGGACTATGCTACGCGTGTGGCTGGTCGTTGGAGGCCTCCCGCCGCTACGTTTACAAGCCTCAATCTATGGACAACGGGCAGGGCACAGGGACTGCGAGAGGTTACTGAGCCGCAGCTCGGGGCTCATCAGACGGATATCGCATCACATTGAAGGATATTGAGCCGCATCATCATGAAGGATATTGAGCCGCTACATCGCATCACATTGAAGGATATCGAGCCGCGGCCTCGAGCACATCAGACGGGTCAGTTACATCGCATCACAGTTAAGTGCCGTCAGCGAAGGGTAACAAGGAAGCGGTGCGAATCATCATCGCATGATACCCCTGAACGCTCGATACGATATCTCTCGTTCTATTGGCTCTCGTTCTGCCACCAGTTGCTTTGTTGCTTCTGTTGGTGTTTTCCATAGATTTCAAACATCGCATGCTGTTCGGGCGGCTTCAGACTGACGGCCGCTGGCTCCGACGGATGGTCACTGTCGACACCGCCGTCAGCGAATCCCAACACCAGGGAGCATAATGACGCTGGGAGCCGGATATATATATATATATATATATATATATATATATATATGTGTGTGTGTGTGTGTGTGTGTGTGTGTGTGTGTGTGTGTGTGTGTGTGTGTGTGTGTGTGTGTGTGTGTGTGTGTGTGTGTGTGTTATACTATGTTATGCGGCACATGTCGGCGAATATCACTTTCATTGCAAAGAAGTTTCATGAGATCGGAGCATATTGCATCCTACCTCATTTCCGCATGAGCGGGTCAACACATCGGACACGCTGTCAGGCACTACGCCGAGCTCGCTCACCGGGGCAAGAGTTTGCCGACGCCGTCGGTAGATGTCTCGCCAATCACGGCCGGCGGAAGGCCAAACAGGTACCGAACTCCCCGCGTGTTATCTGCAACACGATGAGGGGCCGATAGTGAAACACCAATCGGCAGCTCACAGAGATGTGGGGGGGGGGGCTGGAGGAGGGGGCAGCTGGGGAATCTCCTCCCCGTTAACCTAACTCACCCTCCCCGGCCGGGCAGCCGGCCCCAGCGGCCAACTCCTTATCATGTTGATGTTTACAATCATCACTCAAGCTTTGGTTGACCACATTGAGTTCAAATGTCAGCCAGACCTTACCGCGATTTATTTTGTAACAGACCTGGCCAGCGAGTGACTAATATTTGACAGCAAATGATGATTTGGTCATCAGAATCGAGTACTGGGCATTTCATCTGAGCTGTGTAGATGCCGCCAGAGGGTCCATCCTAAGTCCCCTCCCCTTTGCCTTCGCCCCGCGTCAGGACCAGTGCGGCCTGGAGCCGGGCCAATCAGCTGACCAATCAGCTGACAGCCAGCGGGAGCAGCTGCGTTGCGATGCTGGGCCGCGCGTCATCATGTGTTCTATCCAGGTTAAGTTCAATATCTTCCACTGCGTTTCATATGCGTAGTCGTTGTTTTAAGTCTGACTTTAACCAGACATTTTTCCCAAAAAGCTGGAGGGTCTGATATGGTCAGCTGCTAAAACGCAAGAAATCCAGTTTAAGTTGAACGGTACGGTAAACGGTAAAAACCACCTACGAGCACACGCCACCAATATGCCCGCATGCAACCATGCAGTTTCCACGTAGTGAAGTCCGGCGATATAAACCTGACCTTGCCTCATCATCCCGCAAGCCATTCAAGATTTCACGACCACAGCTGGCCACTGGAATGGTCTGGCAAGGACCTCCTCCAGCATCTCGCGCTTGGCGCTCAGCACGCGTGAGACTCTGTTCCAGAGCTTGCTGCGCATGGCTCACGCGGACGTGTAGGCCCACCATTCACCCGCGCGCTGCCAGCTAGCACGCTCATCAAGTCAAGTCAAATGACTGGACTGTACCCGTGGAGCGCCTCCGCGAAATAACGCCCGAAGCGCGCGTCACTTAAGTGCAGCAGTCTTTTTGGCAGGCTTTCGGGATGGTAAAGAGAGGATAATGCGCATGGGAGAAGCCATCGCCGATGCTTGAGAACATACCTATCGAAAGATCTCAACCAGACACTGCGGCGGTTCAGATCCCGATCCGGTCAGACCCAGATCCCGATCCGGATCCGGTCACACCTCAGAGGACGTCTGCCGCGGCTCCCAGTTTTGTCCTCGGGAGGACCGCAGCCCCAGCGTGCCGACAATGAGGACCGCAGCCCCAGCGTGCCGATAATGAGGACCGCAGCCCCAGCGTGCCGGAAATGAGGACCGCAACCCCAGCGTGCCGACAATGAGGACCGCAGGCCCAGCGTGCCGATAATGAGGACCGCAGCCCCAGCGTGCCGGAAATGAGGACCACAGCCCCAGCGTGCCGACAATGAGGACCGCAGGCCCAGCGTGCCGATAATGAGGACCGCAGCCCCAGCGTGCCGATAATGAGGACCGCAGCCCCAGCGTGCCCGCAATGAGGACCGCAGCCCAAGCGTGCCCGCCATGAGGACCGCAGCCCCAGCGTGCCCGCAGTCACAACCCACCGCGCTCAGCACACCCCGCCCGGCACGCGCCGCGCACTCTGTGATCGGCCCGAGCCACAGGGTCGCGCGTTTGGCAGCGGCCCGCGCCAGGCCCTGACAATTACGCGCCAATCAGCTGCACTCTGTAGCGGTGCGCCGGCGTTGTGCACCGCGGCAGCGCCGCGCCCGGCAACAATGCCTCATCCTTGTGGCCTTGCAGAGTGCACTGAGTGCACGCAGCGCGCGCAAGCGTGCAGACGGCGCGTGCGGCCGCCTCGTTGCAAGGACATTGGGCACTGAGTTATGTGCGACTACTATCAAGTTGCAAGTTTGCACTAATAATTTAATACTTTCATTGCCTTAACTGGTATGCGATGAGGCATACAGGGTCAGCAGCAGCACATGCAGTAATGCCATGATGCCGTACGTGAATCTATAACTTTTTAAAAAGTTATTTCAAGTTCAGGCTTTCTTGGAACTTAACTTAAGGCGTTCATTAAAGTGTTAAAGAAAACGGTAGGGACTACGTGATGCACACTGCCACACAGTGGATTAACATGCGACACAACTACATCACGATCGCAGCCCAACAGTGACGCTCAATGACAGCATTACAATGTTCATGAGATATGTGTTGAGGTCTGTGTTGAGGTCTGTGTGTTTTACAGTTTGCGTGTTTTGAAGCGTGCGCTGGAGCCTGTATTTTTTGTTTCGCAGGATAGAGTGGGAGCAGACAACAGACACCGTTTCCACTACTCACCATCGCATTACGATTAGTGATTCATGTAGCATTGACACAGATTGCTTTGTGCCTGGCCCTTTTTAATCGTCTAATTCTTACTTATCACGCGTATCGACACATCAATTATTGTAGGATGTTCGTCTATGCCACCGGACCAGCGCCGCACCGGGTGATCAGATCGAGAAACTACAGCTCGAATCAGCGACTTCTCCTGTTAAGGCCGGGCGATGGGTACAGGGTGCTGAAGCCCCTCCCCCCCCCCTCTCCCGGCCGGCTGTGCTGTGTCACAACCCGCCACGCACGCCACCAGCCTGGTGGCCGCCTGTGACCCAGTTTTAAACGTGAGGCATTGATCGCCAAAGCGAACCGACTCTCGTCTGCGAGCCAGCGGCCGGTGGCGGCGCCCGGCCTTCGCCGCACGCGCTGACCTTCGGGCGGCGTTGCAGCCGCTGCAGTGCAACAGCGCGCCCGGTTATGTGCAGCTACTGCGCCCGCGGACGAAATTGCAAAGTTGCAGATTCGCGTAGTTCGGGCGGCGACGCGGATTGGCTGGCGGCCGGTGACGCAAAGGGGGCGGGGCGGGCGGGTGTTGGGGAGGGGGCAGGGGAGGGGGTGCCGGCATGCACGCTGCGCGGCTGATGGGCGCAGGGGTGCGACTCTGTGGGGAGCCAGATTGCAAAGGGGAGGGGCAGTCGATTGCAAAAGCAAACGATCAGAGGCGACCGAAGCTATTGAAAGTCAGGGAGATGAGCCGTTTGATTTTGAACGTTTGAGCTGACGATGGTTGGTCATTTTTGATCGCTTTTTTCATTCAACGTCCATTAAGACAACGTGAAATTTTCAGAACAATGGGTGGGCTCAGCCCCCCCCCCCCCCCCCCCCCGATCGCCTCCTGTTCCGCCCGTTCCTACGACCTTTCAAGCGAGCATCGCCCTGATTGTAACGCCTTTCTCGAAAAGTGGCCACCACTCACATGGCGCGTCGGCTTTGTTTAGTTTGTTTTCTTGAACGTGCCTGCAATCATGAGGACTGCTGGCCTTACCGATGATAATGCGAAGGACACGTGCTTTCTTCGCAGCTCGAAATAGGCATCAAGGAACAAGATGTGCATCAGCAGATGAGCGTGAACATTGAACGCGAATATGACCACGCTGATGCTGTCATTCATTCTTTTTTGGGCACCTCAGTCCACTGCTCGCCGCATTACACAGCCGCTATAAGACCATCGCCGGTGACCAAGAGTACATGAGTCAGCGATGGAAGCCGTTCGGGTACCCTTTCACCTATTCGGATGCACGAATAATGCATTACTACCATGTTGAGAGGAATTCCACGTCCTGAACATCCGCAAATCTTTGTTTATAACTAGGCGATAGCTGCAATTCCACCGGGCCCCTTTCTAACGCACCAAACACAAAACAGGAGCAACATTTTTTGGATGTCGACCGAGAAGTGCGGTGACCTGACATTTTCCTGCAACGCTAATTCAATTACAGCGGCATTGCCCTTCCACAGCAGTCATCTTTGGTAACAAAACTTATCAGGAATACTGCAGTGTACAGGCAAGGCCAGCGGTTTTTAAAAAAAAAAAACAGCATGCTTAGAAGACGCCAACAACGCTCCAAATGCGATTTTCCGGCAGGATCAGTCCATTTAAAGGACAACCGTCAATCCCGATGGATATTTTTGGGCTGATCCTATTTTCTATTTGATTCATACTATTTTCTCCATCCATACCAACGGCCGCCATTCAGAGGCGCTAATCAGTATTCAAACCGCAGCATTGCACACCTGCCGTCACCGCGCGTCCCTGTCGGGAACCTGGCTCACTGCCCCCGGACGCAGCGCTCGCACGAAAATCACAGACGCTGCAAAGCACGCTGCAACTGACAGGGGCGGACGTAGCGCAGTATCGATCGTCTCATCTGGACTCTGCCGGCACACTCTAAGCTCTTATCTTACCTACATGAACGGGTGTGTTCCGACAACATGCTGCTCATTTACCATAAGCGCATCCTGCCCCACGGCAGCGATGCCTGAGTACGCCCGTGGCGTCGCGAGCTATCGCCATGCAGCGAAAGGCCGCTCGCTACGTTTGGCCAGCAGTCAGCTGATCACGCTCGTCGGCTGGCGGCTTTCGGCCGCCGCTGGCCGCGTTCCTTCGCCACAAATCAGGTCGAATTTAGTTTTATATTTATTTCGCTCAGTTGGCTATGGTGCTGAGGAGTGGTACTTGCTCGAAGCTTGATTTTCCGGTCTAGGAGAGGGCGTTGGGCCAGGACGGTGCGGGCACGGGCACGACCGAGGCGTTGAGTCAGCACGTGGCGCCTTCTGAGATCGTGCAGTGAAACACTTGGCCGAGTGTCCCCATGACCCAGCAGGGGCCGTATCAACACAGCCAAGAGACCAGGGCCAGGAGGTAGGGGGAGAACGGGCTCGAATGCCGGCGATGTGGCAGGAGTCGGCCCAAAAGGGCTCTATAATGTTCTCGACCCTTGTTTGCAGCTTGTGATCGGTTTGCCTGCATGACTAGGCTCGACTCTCTCAGGCAAACCTACAACCTTTAATGCAAAACTTATAACAATGAGCCTGTGAAGTCTCGATAAAGACATCTACAGGGCCGCAGAAACGAGCGTAGTTTCTTTTCAGTTGGGGAAGGCTTCAGCCCCCCTCCCCCCCCCCCCCGCTTAGGTTTTAGCCCTCCCTCCAGCCCTCCAACTTTGGGAAGAAAATATGCCAAAATCTGGGGAGAAGCCATTTAGCTGGTATATTTTGTGGGTTTGGCTGGGTCGTTTTTCACTCTTCAGCCCCTATCCCACACAGATGTTTACAGGTACGGATAAGCAGATGATGTTCTCTAAACAATTCTGGTAGGAACCAGACGGTGTGACGCGTCACAACTCCGCTGCCGCCCACTAACCGGCGGCGTGAAAACGTTCAGCATGTTTTTGCGGGTAATCTTTGAACCCTTTCATGCATTCAAACATTTAATTTCCAATTCATTCAATGCACAGGATGAATTGCTTCAAACATTGACGCTTGATCAAACCTTACACATAATTGGCTTATGGGAGAAATCTGGACGAATTTTAAGCGAGGCAAAAAAAACAACGATGCGAAGAGCAAATCGAGACAGCCAGTAATTGTCTACCTGCCCGGTCCCTGAATGACGTCACATGGCGCCCGGCCTGTCCCTGAGTAACGTCACGTGGTGCCCGGCCGATACTCACTCGGTGCAGCCGCCGGGGCGCTGCGCCGGTAGCTGGTCCAGTTGGTGCTGAGCTGGCGAAGCTGGCCGCCGGCCGGGTGCAGCTGACAACGCCGGTAGCCGCCGTGGAAGCTGAAGCCCTCGCAGTCGGGCGTGTTGCCACACAGCTTGGCGCACTGCCGCGCAGGGCAACAGGTGTCAGGACGCATGTGTCAACATGTGTCAACATGTGTCAACGTGTTTCAGCATGTGTCAGCATGTGTCAACATGTGTCGACATGTGTCAGCATGTGTCAGCATCTGCCAACATATGTCAACACGTGTGAGCATGTATAAACTGTCAGCATGTGTCAGCATGTGTCAGCAAGTGTCAGCTTGTGTCGACATGTGTCAGCATGTGTCAGCATCCGCCAACATATGTCAACACGTGTGAGCATGCATAAACTGTCAGCATCCGCCAACATATGTCAACACGTGTGAGCATGCATAAACTGTCAGCATGTGTCAGCATGTGTCAGCAAGTGTCAGCTTGTGTCCACATGTGTCAGGATGTGTCAAGGCTGGAATGCAGCATGCGGCGGCATCACTTCCATCTCAATGGATTTCGAGAACCTATAAACCAAAATCGAGGAAATAGGGAGGGGGACGCTGCTCTCAGCTGCTCCCTTACTTTGAAAAAGTTGTCGTAGCTTTTAACTTCTGGATGCTTGAAAACCCTAAAGCTTTTCATAATAAAAGCAGATTTAAAAAAGCCCGCTTTACATCCGTTTTTAGCTCCCTGATAAAGACTGCCATGCTCTAAAACCTTTCAGCGCACGCGTTGCTTTTATTATTTGCATTTTCCCTGCATTTCAGCGCACACTATGCTGAAAACAAATGTCCAGCAAAAGCGCTGCTGCTTTATCATGACTCAGTCTCCTTCCCAGGAGTCGACCCGATCCACAGCCTAAAAACGAGGCATAGCCTGTATGGCGTTACTTGATATAAACTGCATAAAAACCGCTTCCCATCATCTTGGAAGTTACTTCGCTCCTTCCCCCTGCAGCGTTTACATCACACGGCTTCATCTGTCCATGTCCTGCAGCCGCCTTTTCGTCTTTGAGTTTCAGTAGTCGTTACGCAACACACATCACTGCGTCTTTTGTGCTATGCAACGCATGGTACACCACTTACCGCCGGCTCAGACAACGACATCCAGTAGACTTTATTGGTTTTCGTCGCCCCATGAAATCTTTCATAGGCTGGCAAGGCCGGATCTGAAACAAAAAGAAAGAATCGTAGGGTCATTAATGCATGACAAATGACGGCAGTGCGGACGAGCGTGCTGTATGTGAATACCGTTAAGTCAAATCCACCAGTGTTTCATAATAAATGAGCCGAGTAGGTTGGATTACAAGAACGACGCTGGTTTGCGCCGTTTTGAGCTGAGAAAATCCGCGCATTGACCCAGTGCAGCTATTATTGCTACAGCCAAGTTGGTTATGCAGGCTTCGAAAAGGCATTAGTTCACCACATCCCACTTTGACAGATGTTCAGAGCCATCCGTACATCCCCGGATCGCACCCAAGCGGTAGGGAGAAGCGCAGCTACGTAAATTATAAATAGTTCATGGGCAATACAAGAATAGTTGACATGCGGCCGCTTCGAATCTATTGAACGCGGATTAATTTATTATCTTTTGCGCCTTACTTGAGTCATGATAGCCCAAAATACTGAGGAAATATTTTTCTCGGGTATGTTCCGCGAAGATTCTCGTTGCAAAAGTTGTGCAAGAGTGTGATTCACCGAGATGATCCCTTAACCGATGTGCGATGTGTTAGGCCATTTTTATTAGGTTTCACATTGTCCCTTTTATGCCCGCTTTCATCAATGATGACGTGTAACTTTTAAAATGCCGTTGTATCTTGTGGCAAGTTACGAAATATATGAACATGAACATGAACATGCACTTAAATAAGTAAACAAATACTGCGCACTGCGCTGCCAATACCTGCCAAGTATAGTGCATAGACGTACGATTTTATTCATGCACTAACAACTGCTTAGGCATATCCCTTATTAACCTGGAGACGAAGCCACGAACAACCATGCCGCAGAGCTTAAATCGTGACGTCATAAGCCAACAACGACAGCTTGACACACACCAACGAGCTTTGCACAAACTGCTAGTCACCGTGCAAAAGACTTCTAGATGAATAACCGTCATTCGACATCTCTCAAGGCGTGGCGTTCTGTTGTCGTCATAGCGACATGAGACGTCAAGGTCACATTTCATTCGCTGCATCGCTCCGGAACCCTGCGCGACCTATATACCGGGTTGAATGACCTTTCCATTAGGTGCACATAACTCATCCGCGGCTCCAGTGCGGCGCCTGATAACATTGCCATAGCAACGACGCTCTGGCGCATGACGTCAATGAACCCGGCTCGTCAGTGTTCAGCTTCAGCTATCCGGCCGAGTTGGGCGGTGGAAGATAAGGGCTTTTTGTAATTTTTTGGAGGTGTGCATGAATTTTGCGACGACGCAGCGTTCAAGGCTTTTGAAGTTTCATGACGAGGAACTCGAGCTTGCGCCACTTATCAATCGAGCCGTGCAAGTGTACGAACCAAAAGTGGGCCAGCCTTCCGGAACCTTGTACTGTTGACGCCGGTGAACACAGGACAGAGCTGGTCAACGCTTGTAGTTGGTTGTATGTAGGCTCATGCATGATGCCAGGTTAGAAATTGTAGAATGTACTAGTAGCTTTGAGTGTAATGAAACTGGCCGCCGCTAGCCGCTTGAACGACCTTAAGGCCTCGCTGTAGGCGCGTAATCAGAACTTTCCTTGGGCGGGAGAGGAGGGGCAATGACGAAGAAGAAAAAACTTCTCCAGGCTCCTGGGAATTTGGACTGAGTACGAACAAAATCGTCCATTATCTAGTGCCAACATCTTTCCTCAAAGGGAGTACGCCCCACGTGCCCCCCCCCCCTTTGGTTACGGCTCTACCTCAATGCTCGCATTCTTAATCCTGCTTACAACCTGCACGTGTCTGCCTGAGACACTGGCGTTACGGGACGCGAAGGAAGAGACTGAGTCAACAACCTCAGATTCCCTCAGGAGATGTGTGTGTGTGTGGGGGGGGAGGGGCATGTGATTTCACCTCGTCTGTTGCCACGCAATCCCGCAACGCTAACGCCAATTTCTACAAAGATTGCGGTCTCTTCGCTGCATGCGGTCTCTTCGCTGATTGCGGTCTCTTCCTTCCTCCTCCCCCCCCCCTCCAGTGTGGGGAAAGGGCTGAGGACTCGGCCCCTCCCCGCGATCGCAGTTGGCTCCACCCCGCGACAGCGGTCGGCACTCACCGCAGTCCGTTTCGTCCCAGCCTGTGGAGCAGCGACTCACTCCATCGCAGAAGTTCTTGGGCGAAACGCATCTGTGAAAGGCGGAACGAAACAGCTGTCAGTGGGAGCGAACTACACACTATTTATTCACTAATACTTCATTAGTAGGTGGTGTCACTTCAAAGCTACCTAGGGAAGAGACCAGGATAGCCTGTATTCTCCACAGCCCGTGCTGCGAACCACCAAACAAATCGCCGTTTTATGAAGACGCGGAGACATCCTGTTCCTCATCGGTGACGTCATTTACGTGGTGGCGGCGTGGCGCGTGCATCCCATTTTACGAATATAAAGCCGGGCGCTCAGACAGCCGTAAGGCTAGCAAATACCGTCGCATGTCCCAGACTGAGGTGTGTTTGGATGACGCTTGGTGTGACTAGGGCAAACCCGCAGTAATCCGTGTTGAGATACTGCTGATCGTTCTCCTAACGCACTGATCACTCGTATTGGACGAACTTTGTCGACGTCTCTCGCCGATCTTTGGCGGATGCTACCCAGAGGTAAACGTCACGCTTATCAATCGTCAGCTAGCGGTGGTCACCTAGGGAAGTCTCATTCTCCGCCGTTCGAACATTCAGGAATCTTGACGTCAAGAAGCTCATCAAAATTCAATTCAAGATTTAAGCACGTCTTGTGCTACTAAAGCGACGGCCGCTGCGTTTCTACGACACTTACCGCCGCGTGCTCATTCTAAGAGCGGGTACGACGAACGCGCCTGTCTAGAACTCACCGGTCTCCTGTCTGGAAATCATCAGTCGCCTGTTTAGAACTCACCGGTCTCCTGTCTGGAAATCATCAGTCGCCTGTTTAGAACTCACCGGTATCCTGTCTAGAACTCACCGGTCACCGAAGCTTTCGCCGCACATGTAAGAGAGAGCATCCTTGCACAGCTCCACTGCTGGGCCATTCTCAGAGGTCACGTACTGGGGCGGCTGACCTTCTGACCCGTCCGTCCCTGCCGAACGACATAACAGTCAGGCAATACGGCTCCACTGGCGGGCCATCCTCAGAGGTCACGTACGGCTTCACTGGCGGCCATCCTCAGAGGTCACGTGCGGCCCGACCATCCTCAGAGGTCACGTGCGAGAACCGCTGCCATGACCCGCCGCATCTCGCCTCTGAACATTTGGAGACAATGTTCGAACATGATGCAATGAGTCCAGGGATAGCGTTTGTGCGTATTCACCGAGCGGCAAGTGGCGTGATCTTATTAGCGTTTAGCTAAATTTGCTTTTTTTCAAATGACGTCAGTACAAAGGAGTGATATATTCTCCTAATTAGCTATGTATGATTCAATAATGGTGTTAGGCGCGATATTTTCATTTTTAGTATTTGTTCGTTCTTTCGTGCTGCAATATCCTTGCAAGTGACGTTTTGCCTTTAACACAAACCCCACTAACACGCAGAATATGTCACAGCAGCGGAGCAGCCCGGGGGGGGGGGGCTCATAGAGCTTCACCCCCCCCCCCCGGACAGGTTTGAGCGCAGGTTTTCACAACACTACTGAATAAAATTCCGTAAGTTAAAGATCTTGAAAACGTCTTTGGTCGTTGTATGGTTTTTAAAATCTTATAAACACTAGCATGGGCAGTGGCATATAAAGTGAAAGCGCCACAATTTAGTAATAACAGCAGGGACGACCGAATAAACATATGCGGTACGCCGCTGCAGCAATTGTTCAATGAACCAGGACAGACCAACATGGATTACACATTGTTAGGCCGAGTACTTAACGCATTAGCGTTTATTGGGTCTGTTAGTCTGCTTGCAGTGCGTCAGTACTGTCAAAGGGGCTGGAGCTCGCTCACGCCCTCGCTGAGACGTGTGAAATGTTTCCTTACTGCTCTGTTTATCATCAAGCGCCATACCACTGATTGAGCGCAGACGGATCGCAATATGCCATTTGCTCCGCTCCGAGAGGCAAGGTGAGCTTGGTTTATACATCAAGTTCATGTTGGGTAAGGTTCTATGGGTTGAACCTAATTCAAGCAATGAGTTGTGACCATGGCAAAACGCGGTCAGTGGAATCCTCTGCGAACGTTTTCGTCAACACGTGGAACTGGATGCCCAGTCCTGGTCCTTCCACGCGTCCTTGAAAGTACTAGCACGCAAAGACTGCACATAATTTCACCGCAAAACTAAGCAAATCGACTGTAGTCTGTATGTATGCCATATGTTCATGAAAGTTCGTTGATTGGACGCATTGCTGAAGATCTCGAGTGTCTAAGTAACTAAATGCCTAAGTGTATATAACTAAAAAAACTACAAGACTGCAACAAATGTTCAACTCAAAAACTGCAAAACCCACCTGCGAGCAGGAAGAATCCAAATGCTGCAGCAAGTACCGCCATCATTTTCGCGCCGAGGTCACCGGCGTGACGTCACCACCACAACTTCCAACTTCACTTCCACAATCAAGAGGGAAAAGAGCGGCGCACGTGATCTGTGTGCCCTGTCGACCTGCTAGGCAGCTGATCCTGACCCTCAGCGCAGCACTGGCTGTGTTGTGGTCCTCCGACTGTTTTATAGCTCCATTTGTTGTGGGCCGCAGAGGGGGCGGGCGGTAGGGGTGCGGGACACGCCAGGGCCGCCGGCGGAGGGGAGGTCACCACTCTCTGGGTCATTACCAGTCGGTAGTGGTGAAAACCCGGAACGCAGGCATGCAGCGGTTCCGGGCGGCGTTGGCAGCGCAGCGGAGACGAGCAAGGCCGGCACTGGCACGGAGCGCACCGGCTGTCCTGCAGCCGGCTCCAGCTAGTTCCCTCCGCTTGGCACCCACTGCATTTCTGGTGTGCGTGCTGGGTTTTGGTGCGGGCCACTCGAGAAAGGACGTCGGGTTTGGCTTGCACCCACCGATGGCACAACAGGTGTGATGTGTTTGGGTGCCCACTCCGGAGGTTTTAATCGGTTGAGGTTGGCCCGGAAGCAGAGCGGCGATAGCCTTCGTTCTCATCGTTTTTGCAGAGGTAGCTCAACGCTGTTTTCTCATAATTTACGCAATTCTCGCTCGGCCGGTCTACTAAACCGCTCTGCCGCTCTACCACTTTAAACCGCTCTACTTCACCACGCTGCTCAAGCCTAGGCTGGTCTGACGCTGCTCAACCCGCCGCCCATGCCGGGGCGTCAATGATATAGTTGTATAAGGTTGGTTTTATAAGGTAAGGTTGTTGGTTGTATAAGGTAAGGCTGTATAAGGTTGTATCGTTCACTTCACGTTCTGTGGCCTTTTGAGCCTGGAGAAAGCCTACGAAAAGTATTGAAAGCCAAGAACACGAAAAGGAAAGACCTGATGGCCCAGAAGTGCAATGCGACAGCTCCCCATCAGACTTGAGATGGCCACGGGCTATCGACCTGTGTGAGACAGGCTTACCTGGAAGGCACTTTTAACACTCTCAGCTGTGATCTTCCACATGAACAAGCGGAAATCTCGGTGAGGGGCTAAGAAAAGTCGGAGGTAGCGAACGGATTTGCATGCGTTTGCTGATGAAGTAAAATGTGTCAGGAAATTATATAAACATCTGTACATCGGATCGGGCAATAATCAATGAAGAGATGAAGTCAGAGCTGTGCCGTATGCCTAAATAAGTCGCGCACCTGGCTGTTGTAAACTCACGGCAGTCATCAGCTCCTTACCCGAGGTACACCAGGGCGGAGTCTGATAAGGTCATTAGCTTGTAGAGCGACGTTCAGCCTGTGCTGCCGCCTAATTTGGCAAGTTTCCAAAATCGGTTGGTCATGATTTTGTATCAGTCTCATACCTTAGCGCTGAGCGACATAGCTGCACGCAACGACACGCGGACTGCCGCAGGCGATTCAAGGCCAAACAATAAAAAAAAACAATGCGATGTTGCGTAGCTAAGCTGCCTGATGTCGGCATACAGATCTATCCCCGCATTCCACCACACCGCCAAAGCCGGCCATGTTAGCGATGACACATTTAGCGGCAGGTCCCTGTCGTCCCCCTTCCGGAAGCCACGCGGAACTGATCGCCGCCGGCGGCGACGGTGACCCCTGCCCTGACCTTGACACCGTAACCAACTAAACCTGACCCAGATCGCCCGCAGGGTGGGAAGCGGATGCGAGTGCACGCGCGCGAGGGGCGGGGGCGGGGCCTGCAGGGGAGTGATGGCTCTAGGTGGTTGGGCTTTACAGTGCACCTCGGGAATACTGCATTCGTACTTTCAAGATAACCTTGGAGTTCCGCGTCGTATTTTTGTAGCGTGCGATTCAACGAATGGCACCGGAGCACGAGAGACGGTGAATGGTCGCCATACAGTAAGCGCGTGCAGCAACCCATGCATGCCAGCCGCATCTCAAAATTACGGATAGGCTCTCGAAATGCCCTCTACATGGCCGTCAGCCCCACCCTCAGTTAACATGAGGTTGACGGCAAGACTTTGATTTTGCAGACGAGACCTCCCCTATAGCTGAGGGGGAAGTCTTCCCACTTATCATTACAACAATATGACATGTAATAATGCAATTTGCAATCATGGATATAAAAATACAAGAAACAATCATTGTAATGTACATGACAATAGTACATAACAATTCAAGCACTGACATCGGACATTGGGCTACACCTAGAAACAATGGCGTCAACAAAGCCTAAGTCTGTCGTCGGTCACAATCGTTTGAGGGACCCTGGCTGAAGGGATCCAAGAACGCCTAATTCAGAAACCGCAATTTTGGGCGCCGATTATGCGGACATCGGCAGCTGAGGAGGTCACTGGTGCATGTTCAGGAGTACACTGGCGCATGTCGAGAAGGACACCGGCGCATCTCAAGGGGGATACTGGCGCATGTCGAGCTGCGCAGCTTGCACCTCCAAAATGGGGGCACCAGTAGTGCTGTGGTTGCGCGCCTGAGAAACCAGAGGTACGGGGTACGATTCCCCGCGGTGTCCTGATCTCCTCTCCTGCCAGAGTGAGAGGTAGGCGACGCCGTAACACACACACACACACACACACACACACACACACACACACACACACACACACACACACACACACACACACACACACACACACACACACACACACACACACACACACACACACACCTGCACGATGGGCAACTGGAAAGGCGCATACTAATCATCCTTGAATATAGGTAGGCCTATTTGACTAACGGGCTCCGAGACATAAACAGTCACGGAGACAGCCGCAAGTTTGGAACAAATAATACTGACTGTAGTTTGGGTAACAAGCACCATGTTGAAATCAGTATAATTTGACCCCTAAACCTGAAAATATCTCCATTTACCATCGCCTCTAACCGAAAACCGCGGACCATACGTCACTGATCATCTATATATTTCATTACGCATGGATGGGTGAGGGCCTTATTTCGACAACCAAATTTTATTCACCGAAGGCCTTTTCCATATTTCAAAATGTTAAAGCCGGACACTGCTGGCTAACTGTGATGGCAAATAGCACGCTCGCCTTTGGTTCCTGCCTGTAACTCACTTACGAACCAACCACACGCTACCTATTAACGCTACATTAATAGACGCTACGTTACGTTAACGCACTCAGACAGGGGTAGGGGCGCCTGGCGTAGCCAGTGCGTGACCAGGGAAAAGGGGTCGACAGATTGTAGTAGCTGCGTAACTCCATTCACAGACGATCCCTGATCCATGCAGCACAACATTTGTGCGTCACTGCGCATTTGAAGTTCGCACAACCTGTGGAAGAACTTTCACAGCATGAGTTACCTTCACCTGGTCTCACCGTAGGAGGAAACTGCGCCCTCGGTGGTGGGGTCAGAGGTCACGCAACAGGATCTGCTTCATGCCGGCGCTGATCTCAGAAACCGATACTGTCAGAAGGTTTGGACGATATGTTAAAAATGCCTCCTAGCGATGCCGTATAAATTACGATCTATATTACGATTTAGTAGCACAAATTACTATCTCTAGTATAAATTGCAATCCCGTTTACCCGACACGGAACTCCCCCGTGTACATGATGGCGAGTCGTTCTTTTGGCCTTCTGTACCTCTGTAGTACCTGGCACACTCGTCTGATGCGCCTCTTGGGTACATCGCGACGAGTCGCTTCTTACACACAACGCCGTCCCTGTCTCTGCGTATGACGCATCGTTGCACCTGTCTGCCGTTGTCTGCATCGTCTGTCTGCCGACGCGGGCTGCCGCGTGTGTTGCGATGCATGGTGGCTTACACAGGCAGGGGCGGCGCCACGGGTTTTGGGCTGGGGCGGGGGGGGGGACTGCATTCTACAGGGGACTCCGGACCAAATGGGGCCCCTCACGTCTACTGGGGAGGGTCGCATTGAACGGAGGAGCACTGGGGGCGCGCGCTGCATTAGCAACTTGCTAAATGTATCCATATCCATACAACGAAATATCGACAAAAAAGAAAAGAATGTGGGTCTCTAATTGATATAGGGGGCTTTTCGCACCAGAAAAGGGCCTTTTGTTCCAGAAAAAGTTCACCTGATGCATATAGGACCTCCTGATGCAGAACAAGATCCTTCCCAATCACAAAAGAGGTATCTAAATTTAGCAAAGGGCTTCGCCATCCCAAACAGGTTACCGTAATTAAGAACTTCAGACAGCTGACGCATGAAAGGGGGCTCCTGATATGCAAGGATGTCTCCCTCTCCAGATCAGAACCCTCTAGCTCATAGCGCGATCCTTTCAAGGCAGCAAGTTAACATAACAGTCCTTAACATAAGTTTGACCTCCTGGTTTAGAAAATGGGCTGTCTTAGTCAAAAAGGTGGTCCCATGAGCCAGAAAACGGGCCTATAGTTGCGAAACGATTTTCTGGCTCGATCTAGTACCCTTTATCGGTTGTGGGTCCCCCTTCATCTGAATTTTGGCTCCTCACGACACAATTGCAATATGCTCCTCCATGCGTCATTGTTTGATTATGTTATGGCACCTGGCAGAACATTGACTGAGGGCCAATTCACGGCCGTTACATCTGGTAATCGTGCTCACAAACACCAGATGTGAACGACCCATCCGGTATATTTTTCTTGGCCTTGATCGTCACATAGTTAATGGGATGGCAGTATTTCAATAACCTTACCATGACGTCATCAATGCCAAGGTGACCTTGAAATAGTCTCCCCGTAATAATTTCCCATTTTGGCGGGCATCTAGGTCAGAAACTAGAAGGTTTAGGTCTTAGAAGGGCAGGGCTGTAAACTGCAACAAATGATCTTCAAGATGGCTAGTGTAGTTCAAAACCCCATAGAAATGTGAAACATCCCTTTGGAAGTGCTGCTGCTGGAGATGTTTGCCGCGACAGCCAGCTTTTTAGACGTCGGCATAGAAAGCAAACATATCGCTAGGCTAAACCATTGCGGCAAATTTATCCTCTCA